GCGGGAGGGACTAAATGGGGCGCTTTGTCCTCGCCCGGTCCGTTTGCATCGGGAGGCAGCACGGGGCCAGCAGCGTGCCCAGGACTGGGCTGATCGTAACCGCGTGCCCATCGCCCAGCTCACAGCCCGAGCAGCTCAGGCAAAAACACAAAACCAGCCATCGCTGCTGTAAGCGAGTACTGATGCATGACCTGCAGAAGCAGAGGTGCTCCCACAGCTGGGGGTAGAAGGAGCCACCCCTTACCTGTACTGGACACGCCAGCAACGTTGCTGGGTTCGCTGATGAGATCCTGCATGACCGCCAGGACCCGGAACTCGTACCAGGTGTCCTGAAACACCAAGCACATCCATCAGGTTCCCCACTGCAGCCTCCAACCTTGCCCAGCCCCCTGAAGACCTCAGCACGGGGACCAAGCCACCCCAAAAGCTTCCCCAGAGCGGCAGCAGACAGTACAACACCAGAGTTATGCTGTGGGCAGCCCCTGCTTACCTGGGACAAGTCCTTGGCAAAAAACTCGTTCTCGGTCCCCAGGATGCCATCATCCAAGATCTCCCACCTCTCCGCGACGCGGAACTCCATGATATACCGGTCGATGGGGAAGCTGTGGTTAGCAGGAGGAAGCCACGACAAGAGGACGCCTTGCTGTGTCCGGTTGGCTGTTAGGCACCTCGGTGGGGTAACCAACACCAGAGGCTCTGGAGTTGTTACAGGGAATGCTGGAGACAAAGCAGATGGGACAGGGACACCTTTGAGACGGGAAGCGCAGAGGATGCTCTCCCACGCGTGCCCCATCGGCGGCCGATGGACCACCATGGCAGCTCCCCCCCTTCCCAGAGTTTAGGACCTGTGCTCTCTTATCTCAGAGATACAACAGCGGCTTTCCAAAAATGCAGCTACTCCAAGAAAAGGGGCACAATGTTAGAAAGCTCCTGCTTCCTCCCATCTTTGCCTGAGAGAGCCCCAAGGCAGGTACCAGCACGAGGCCCTTCGTGTTAGCTGCTGCTCTGAGCCGCACACAAGTGATTTTGTGCTCTATTAATACCTCCTGACCCCAGCTGGATGTAAGGAAGGTCTGAAAGGCGGCTGGTACAGCAGAGCTCTCCCACGCTGTCTCTTAGGACAAGCTTTCCGGAGCCTCGTGCATCCAGCGAAGTCTACAAGCTTCATCCAGGACCCTCCACGAACTATCTCCTACGCGGCTGGAAACTACTGCTGCTGATCACCTTCTACATCCCCAGCAGACAGGACACAAGGACCAAGGCAAAGGGCCACTTCTCCCCACAGACCTCCTGAAACCCTTCCCCCTCCTCCCCTTGTGCCCACGGAGGACCTACCTAGAGTGTTCACAGTGACCACCTCGCTGAAGGAGCTGGTACCCAGCTTGTTTTGAGCCAAGACACTGAACTGGTATGCAGTCTCCGGTTCCAAGGTATCCACCAGCAGCCAACTGGAACCAGCTGGCACAGGGAGAGATAGCCAGTCGTGGGGGCCAAACTGGGCTCTCTTCATCCTGCCGAGAGAGAAGGGAGCATCCTCAGGGAAGGTGCCTTCGACAGGGAGGACAAAGAGGCAGCATTAACTTCTCGAGCGAAAAATGGAGCTTTCCCGAGCGATGGCTTGGTTTGACAGCAGCGATGTGTATGGATGTGGGGCAGCCACTCGCCGCCCAAGAGCTGGCTCGGGGACGGCGCACATGAGGACTGCCAGGCACGGGCCACCGTCCCGTTGTGCCGCACCAGCACGCCCCGGCTCATACAGACCCTGCCACCAGCCCTCCCTTCTGCCGTGCACCACCTGCACCCTCTGAGCAGGGTCAGGGACAAAAGCAGTGCCAACAGCCCCGCTCTGAGGTCATCTCCATCAGATTTCCATAGGCAAAAGTGGAGGCCGGCGCACTTTTACTCTGGTGAGTGCTGCAAAGGGGACAGCTGGTGCAGGAGATGGTCCTGTTCCCATTTACACCTCGACAGCTCCCGAGCCAGAGCCAAGTTTTCCCTCAGCTGTAGCCCTGTACATGCAGTCTCACAATAGACATTTAACTAAAGCACTGGTTTTGCCATATTTGCACAAGTCGAGGGCTGCCAGCACCGCCCAGGGTATAACTCAGGGTTTGGCAGCGCAGCAGAGGCACTTGTGGGCAGCACAGGACACAGCCTTTCTGCAGGGGTCCATAACCCACAAACCCAGGGTAAAATAGAGCTCCCAGAGCCATCCCAGTGCGGCCCCAGCACACCTGAACATGCAGCCACCTCCGAAAGCCATAAACCCTGCCGGAAAGCACCGCGGTGAACGAGCCCCATGTCCTGAAGCAGCATCACCACGCTACAACGATACTGCAAGCACCAGTGCTCATGCTAGAGATGTTCTAGGGAGGTCCAGCTCTCAGCTGCAAGTTTCGGTGGTGTCCGTGAAGGATTTGGGAAGTATTACTGCAGATTGTCTATTCTGCATAGGCATATCCGTAGCCACCGGCATACGGCCAGGTAAATCCACCGGGTAGGAATTAAAAGATGAAGCAACGGCAGATAACGCTGCTGTTAAGGGAGCAGAAGGTGAGGCAGGAGAAGCAGCAGCAAGCCATGGAAACGAGCAAGTCGGCGGAGCGCCATGCACGTGCAGCGTGCCTCCAGCAAGCCGAGCGCCTGCGGGCGGGAAAGCCGCTGTATCACCGCAGCTCTGGCTGGGACTGCAGCCCCCAGGACCCCCCGCCGCCGCAGCGCGGGCATGGAGGGCAGCGGAGCAGCTTTCTCTGCAGCTTTTAACCCCACCGCCTTCACACCCCTTCTCCCCAGCGCTGCTGCGGGAGGGCAGGCACGCAACGGCAAGGGGCTGAGGGTGGGGAGAGCGGAGGGTCAACGCAGCACCAATCGTCCCCGGGGACCGGAGTCAGCTCTTGCCGAGGGAGAGCACGTACGCAGGCGGGAGGTTTGCATTTCCAGCATCAACGACCGCAGAAGCGGGAGGAGAGCGTGAACCCCACAGGAGGCAAAGCCATGTTTTGCTTGAGCATCCCGTAGCCTCAGCAGGGAGGAAGACGCACGGATGGCCAGCTCTCCGCCGAGCACCGTCCCAGAGCCCTGCTCCCAGGGAGCAGCACAGCCCCCAGGGCTCACTCCTGACAGTCAGGGCAAGACGAGTCTCTGCCTCCCTGTCCCGGGTCCCCACAGCACCCTGTAAATTCCCTAAAGCGAGCGTGGTGCACACCCTTCCCTGCCACTGGCTGGGCTCCCCGCTGTGGGGTTTGGGAGAGGGTCCAGCAGGG